ATCCATCCATCCATCCATCCATCCATCCATCCATCCATCCATCCATCCATCATCCAGGGATGGCAGGGAAGTGGCAGCCTAGTGGTTGGGGCAGAGGGCTTGAAATCCTGAGGTTGTGACTTGAAAACCCACTCCCACAGACAGACACTCTGGGTCTCTCAGCAAGACCCTGAACCCTGATTGCTCCCTAGGAGCTGCACAGTGGCAGCCCACTGCTCCACAAAAAATGCGATGGGTTAAATGCAGAGAGTTAATTTCTCCACTGTGAGATCAATTAATTACTTATCCATCCATCCATCCATCCATTCATGCTTTCATGTCCTCCTGCATTAATATGTCAATAATCATAATGTTATCAAAGATTCGGTTAATAATCTGTTGGAGGCGACTTTCTTTGGAGGTTCTGTTGCCTCCCAGACCAGCTGGGCCTTTTCTGCTTCCAGCGTGCTTGTGTGAAATCACACCAGCTGTCAGTATGTAAAAATGTGAGTGAAGTCGTAACTTTTTATGTAGCGTTGTAAACCTGGGTCAGGAGGCAGCGTCAGCCCATGGAGGTTTTCTCACCATGACTCTGTATTCAAATCTCTGAGCCGCATTTGCATCAACTGAGCTTTTATCAGCTTTTACTCATTTATGGGCCCAGAGTTCACATGTTGCTGTTAGAACTCCCGCAGTCTGAGCTGCTGCTGAGCCACGAATATGCCTACATTACCCACAATCCACCTGGAGCTGCAGGAAACTGTTAGCAACATCAGCTGGAAGAAACCAGCCTGTTTTTGCAGAGAGGAAGAACAGAACCAGAAGAAAACAGTTGGTTGGTTCTCTATCCATGTTGCATGGTATCATGAACCTGATCTGAGTTCTCTTCAGCTTCTGCAAAGCGACCTGGTTCTGCCTTAGAGAGGAGAAGCTCCCTCATGTAGGAGGACCAAAGCTACACCAGCAACAGGAAGCAGGTGAGAAGGTCCTGATCCAGACGCATCATAAGAAGAACCTGGGAATTCTTTAACCACATCCAAGTGGGATAAGAACTCGGAGGAATCGTGACCAAACAGAGGGACCAAGCATACCAGACCAGAACCTGGAGGGAGAGTTTGGTCATTTTCTCTTCAAAATCAGCTTCAGCTTTGAGTCGGGCCAAAGACAATAACCTGGACAGAGCTTTGGGTCGGGCTTTCTGAGACCAGAACATGAGCACCACGTCAGCGACCCAGCAGCGCATATGACAGGGTTCTGAACCGTATACACGCCCCGGTCGGACTCTAACATCCATAAAACCATTTTCAAATATTTTCAGACCAGCTGGTCCTGATCAGAGTTCTTCTGGTCCAGATTGTGGACCCGTCCGTGAAAGGTCCATGAAAGGTCCGATTAGGGTTCCGGTCGCCCTGGGAAAGCAGCAGGAGGAGCTGATGGTTCTGAAAAACCAGATGTGGACATAAAGAGAACACAGAGGATCCCTGGTTGGTTCCTTCTGGACCTGGGAAGGACAGAGTGGGTCCAGTCCAGGAGACAGAACCAAGCTTAAAGAAAAGGAAAACAGAACCATCTTTGGGTTCTGCTCAGATCGGGTCATCAGCATCTGATCTGGTTGAACATTAACCCAGAAAGCACGGAGGTCCGATCAGCGGCAGGAGCACGTCAAACATTTTAGCTCCTCATCTGTCAGAACCGCTAAGCCCAAACACAAACCTAACTGAAAAAAGTGTTTTTGGCATTTACTTAATCATATTTAGTTCCTTTAACACAATAGTTTTATGTTCTACTCTGCTAACATGAAACAATTGTGTTAAAGGAGCTAAATATGATTAAGTAAATGCCAAACCGACGGCTGTCTGTCCTCACAGCGCAGTTCAACCCGACCAGAACTAACATTCTGATCACATCTGGTACCTTTGGACCCGTTAAAGGTTCTAGGCAACAAGCTCCAGCTGATTCTGATTGGACCAGAGCCGCCCGGTCCAGTCAGAGTCAAAGCACAGAGTCTGATTCAGCACCAGAACCGGTTCTGGACCTCTGCTCTCCCACCCATCTGGTTCTGATCCAACCTGAACTATTGACAGTTTTTGGTTCCATCGAACTTCAGCCAATCAGGATGAAGGAAGGAAAGAGGAGCAGCTGAAGGAGGGAAATAAATGACTTATTCATTGAGAAACAAAATCATAAAGATTCATTTTTAAGATTTTTCTGTGAACAAAATGTCAAACTTTTATTTTTCTCTGAATATCAGTAATAAAAATAAATTCAATTTGTTCTAAACTAAAGATCTGGAACCTTTAAGATCCGTTTTCAGAAACCTGCTCAGAACCTCAGAAGAAACACAGCTGCAGTTTCTAAATCATTTGCCTTTATTTTATTTACACTGCAAACAGTTTTTTTTTTAAATAAGTGCACTTTTTCTTGAATTGATGAGGTAAGTAAGACACTTTGCCAATGAGACAAGACATTTGACATTCAAAATAAGAATAAACTATTGCAGTGGCCTAGATCAAGTGCATATGATCGAATTATCTTATTTTAAGAGTAAAACACTCATTCCATTGGCAAATCATCTTATTTACCTACTCAAATTTAGGGGAAATACACTTAATTATTATTATTATTTTTTTTTTTACTTTTACTTATTTCTTAAGTAAAAGTAAAGTGTATATCTTAAGCTCTGAAAAACGGAACCTAAACTGGACTTTTAAGAGGTTCTGATTTTATTCAGTAAAAATCAAAAACTGCTGAAACCATCAGAAGGTTCTTTTTAAGTTGAGACATGGAACCAGAACCGGGTTTTACCCAAAAGGCTGAATTATTTGGGTCAGAACAAATAGATAAATAAACGAATAAATGAAAAAATAATTAATAAATAAATAAAAATCTGTCTGCTTATGTTCCGGTTGAAGATTCATCAGAGGTTCTGTTCAGTGGTTCTGATCTATGGCCATCATCATGTGGGTCACTGACCGGTTCCAGTTCATTTCCTGACAGTTTATGAAATATTTATTATTGTTGTAAAATTAAGGAAAGAATAATATATTTTATTATAAATTAATAAATGTATAAATTATTAATAAATAATAAATTAAAAGCATTAGATTAACAATAATCTCTTTAATCAGTTTAAATAAAATCTAAACGTGTTCGATTGTTTTAGAAGATAAAATTCAAAAATTAAAAATGAATAATAACATAATAATAAACCTAAATAATAATTGATCATAATGAATGATGCCTATAGATTATTTTAATGCCTCTCTGATGGCATCCAGATGATCTTTAGTCTAATTTTATTCCTGTTGTAGAGGATCCTGCTCCTATCTCCTGTTTTCATATCAGCTTCATATTTAAATGTCCAACAGTCTCTGCTGGGAGCGGCTGGATCCGGGTCCGAATTGGGCTCCAAACAGAACACCAGAACCATCAGAACCAGAACATCAGAACCAGAACCATCAGAACCAGAACCATCAGAACCAGAACATTTCTCCCATCAATAATCTCGGAACATTTTCAGGGCCCCATGATCTCCCTGGTTCCGGTTCTTACTTGGGTTGCTGGGCGGCGCGGAGGTTCGGATCCAGTCGTAGGGGTTCCTCCTCCTCGGGGATCCGGGGGACAGCTGCCCCCCAGGCGGGTTCAGGCCGGCGGGCAGCAGCGCGGGCGGCTGTCCGGGGAACTCCTGGGAGCCGAAGCCCAGCGAGGGCCCGGTGACCCCGGGGCCAGCGGGGGGGCCCCCCACCGCTGCGGCGGCGGCAGCGGCGGCCGCGTAATGATGAGAGGACCAGTCCTCCCGGGCCGGGGGAGGGGGCGGAGGGTAGGCCGGGCTCCAGCCGCCGGCCCCCGGCCCGGCCTGCTGCGGGTCGGTGCCCAGGCCGTGGTGGTGGTGGTGATGGTGGTAGCCCGCGAAGTCCGAGTACTGCGGGGGGGCTGGTACCGGGAAGCTCTGCGGGCTGAGGCTGAGGCCCGGGTGGCGGCTCACCGGGTTCTGGTGGGAGTACATGCTGGGCTCCTTGTCCAGCTGCAGGTAGCTGACGTACATCTTCCCAGGTGAGGGTTCTCCCTCAGCATACTGCGGCTCCAGCCTGCCTGCTGCCGCTCACCTGTCTGCAGGTGAGCTCCGTGTCCGCGTGTCCGTGGGTCTGCGCGCTCCTCCGCCGGCTGCCTGTCCGCTTCTCTGCGCGCGCTCCGCCTGTCACGCGTTAAAAACGGCCGCGGTCACATGGTCCGGTTTATGGCTCCGATCTCCTCCTCTTCCTCCCTGACAGCCTTCATCGGGAGCCTCTCCTCCTCCTCCTCTTCCTCCTCCTGCGGCCCGCGGGCCTCTTTCTGCCGGCCGCATTTACATCACAGTCCGCGGCTGCACTTCAAAGGCTCATCAAAGTGCCGCTCCGACCATCCATCCATCCATCCATCCATCCATCCATCCATCCATCCATCCATCCATCCATCTAATAATCCATCCATCCATTAATCCAGTATAAAGGTGAGATTGAATATTTCTCATAATTAAAAAAAAAAAAAAAAACTTTCTGTAAACCCTGTATTTAATTATTAAAATATTTTAACACGGAACAAAAATGTCGTTTTATTTAATTTTTTTGTTCTTTCTCTTGTTTTATGTTCATTTCATTTTCCAGCTATATTAATAGTGCTAATAAATCGATCTTTGTAATGAATTCAGAATTAAATGAAAATTATTATTACTTTAATAATGATAATAATAATTTCAGATTTCCCATTTTGTAGGTTTTTATTATGATTAAACATTTAGTGGAACCGATCGGGTTCCTATTTCTGTAAAAAAAAAAAAAAGAAAGAAAGAAAGAAAGAAAGAAAGAAAGAAAGAAAGAAAGAAAGAAAGAAAAAGATGTTTAAAAACCCTGAGGAAAGTTTTCTGATGTTTTATTTTAAGAATAAAATGATAAATATTTCAAAGAAAATAAACGACCAACAATAAAGTTAATTTCACAAATTTTAACATGAAAAAAAATTAAAATGTGAATTTAAGAGGCAGACAATTAAAGTAAAATTGAACAGAAAATAATCAGATCAGGCCAATTATTTAATAACACCAGAAAGTTCCAAATATTTTATTCTGATCCAGTTTGTTCGGTTCGGACGTTTTGGACCAGAATCCTCCAGAACCTGAAAAAGTCCAGAGATCATCTGAGCTCCAGAACCTTCAGGACTCTTCAGGATAGAACCCTCCTGTGCTCAATGAGCGGAACCGAACCTTAATGTCGGACCTTCTTCACCTCCACGTTTATCCACAGGAAAAAGCGCATACCCGTGCGCGCGCACGCGGAACAAATATTTTAAAAATGATTTATTCATTAAATATGATGTTATTATGTTTTTAGAACTAATCTATCAATATACACTAAAAAAAATAATGCAACTACTTTTGGCATTTACTTAATTATATTTAGTTACTTTAACACAATATATAAAAATATATATACAACTATGACACATCATATTTATGAAATTATAATTTGAATAAAGGGAATAAAATAACCTTTAAATTTTTAATTTCTAAGCAGGAATTAAAATCCCCTTCAGGCCATTATTTGATTTTATTTTTTCATTAAATTGTGTTTTTATTTGTCAGATGGTATTTTTAAATATTGCTGAACGGTTGAATATTTTAATACCCTCCTTCCTGCGGACAGCAGGGCAGCGGCTCGGTGACCTCTGAGGGACTCGAACCGACAACCGTGAAGAAGCCTCCAAGGCTCCAGCTCCGTGTGGAGGAATTATCTGCATCTTTATGGATTTATGGGAGATTTATTGTTTTACGCTGATGAGTATTTATTTTAGTCCGCAGCAGTAAAATCACATAAAGTCTCAGTAATCATCCGCTGCAGTTTTCATGTTTTCGAGTGTTTGATTGGAGCCTTAATGATGTTTAAACTTCTGCCTGGACAGCTAATCCGCACCAGTCTGACGGCTTCTAGAAACCATAGATCTAGCTGTCCGTTGATGCGCTCGGATTATTCATTTTCTGTTTCAAAGGTGCCGATTATTTCATCGTTTTGCTGTTAAATGTTTCTGTTGTGTTTATTAGTAATTATTGTTCATAAATAAGCTGGAATATATATGGATTAATTTAATTAGAGGGATAAAATTCCTCTTTTTAGATTTTTTATTATTATTTAAAGAATTAATTAATTTATTTGGTGAAACCAATAATTAATGATCAGATCAACAGAGCCAGATGTTCAAATGAAACCAACTCAGGCGTGTTTAGAACTGAGTTTAAATTAAAGTTCGGGTTTTAGAACCGAAGGGAAATCTGCAGACGACCAGAACCGGTCTGGCAGAACCGTCGGTTCCGTCCAAACATCAGTCCAATGGGTCTGACTGATGTGATCCAGGCGCAACCAGGAGAATCCAACCTTAAACAGCGATGATCTTTAGGTTCGGAAACATGAAATCAGCTCAGAACCATCCTGGATCAGAAATCCAGAACCGGATCAGAACCACCAAGAGGATCCAGCAGTGACCTGAGAGCGGTTCTGTTTCCCCTCACCTGCAGGTCAATCATTAACCCACCGAGGCTCATAAAGCTTCACTTTATGGAGAGTGATGATGATGAGGATGGGTCATAAATGATGAAGAAAGGTCAGAGCACACAGTCTGTTTAACCACAGACCTTCAGAATAAAACCAAACAAAGGAATATATATATATTCTGAAATAATAATAATAATTGATTACTATAATTTCATAACCACCCGATTTATCTTAGTGATGAAGAAAAAGCAGCATCTTTCTTCTGGAAACATCTAAAACATCAACAGACAGGGACATCAGATTATAGATGCGATTAGAATTTAATACAATCAGATTTAATCCGGTTTCTATATTCCAATCATCCGCAGTAAAGTCCTTCATTTCTGATCTTTCTGAACAGTTTTTTCCGACTTTTCTCTCTTGGTTTCATTCTGTGGCCCTCAGTCATTTCAGGGGCCCTTGATCATCAGAACGTTTTTCCTGCTCAGGCGGGTCACCGAGATACATATTTAATATAAAATATGAATTTGTTGGTTTTATGCAGAAAAATATTACATTGAAAGTGAATCTTCTTAAATCTAATTTTTATCTGCCTTGTTTTGCTTTTAGTTTTATTTAACTGCAATCAGAAAAACGAACATCCAGAGAAATCAGACGGGAAAGAAGGTGAAAACAAATCTAGATCATTTTTAGCCTGCAAACAGACTTTCTAATCTCCTTCACTTGTTTCAGTGAAATATTGTCTGAGTAGAACATTGTTTTGGTAAAAGAGAAATAATAATAATAAATGTGTTTTTACAACTTTACAATCATAGCAAATAAAAACGTTTGGGGCCTCCTGTTTCTGCTCATCATAGAAAACTGTTTGGATGGACGGTTCTCTGCTGCCCCCTGCTGATAACACTAAGATCTCTCTGGACTTCTCCCCATCAGCTTCTACACCTCAGAACCTCCTGGTCTCACTTTTCTTAAACATGGACGGGTAAATGGACCAGACTGGTTCCCTCTGGAGGATCCCAGAACCGCTCTGGTTCTAGAAGTAGAGCTTCTAGAAGCTTCCTATGGGGGGAGGTGGGTGGATTAGCCAAACATTTTGCTCAGGTTGGAGCAGCACAGCTTTAACATTTGTTTACTCAAATAAAAGTAGAAAATAGTTCTGATAAATGACTTAAGTACTGATAAGATGGTACTCGGTACTTAGAGAATATTGTGCATTCAGAAAGTACTCTACTCAGAAAGTATTTGCTTCCAAAAAAGTTGAATTGAATTTTGAATTGAAAACTCAGAAACAAAGTCCAGTGGATTGTTTTAAATTTTCTTTTTTGGAATGACTGACCTGGATGACAGAGAATCTTCACCAGCAGTATTGTGAACTCAGAAAGTACTCAGAAAGTATTCAGTACTCAGAATGAATCCAGTACACAGAACGTATTGGATACTCAGAAAGTACTAAGATTATTTAATTCTGCATGGTGAAAATAATTACCTTAGTTTTAGGAATCATTTAGTGATAACAACCTACTGAGCCTACTGGCAAAACCTGAAGCCATTCTATGATACTGATAACCGCTAATAACCACCATTTATTAGGATGATTATGTCCGAAGCGGCTGCAAAAAGACACTTAGTATTTACTGTGTAAAAGAAGACAGAATCACAGGAAGAACCCCATGAGATGATGAACAGGTTCCATTTATTAGAACAATGTTTTTAGACTTCATCCTCATCAGCTGCCAGATGAATTTACAGAAATAGATACATTGATCCGCTACCATTAAAGAAATAAAACTAATGTTATTTTGGTCATGATGGGCTATGGGAATCCTTTTTGATATGTATTAATTTAACTGAATATGTATTCCTGATATCTAAGAAGAAAAAAAATGTCCTCGTCAAAATTACCATTTCAAACAAAATGACATACTTCACATCTAGAATAAACATTCTGGATGTTTGGGAATAAACTATAGATCTCCATATTCTTATTGTTACTGGTCAGAATTTGTATTATTTTACCATGAAGACATTTATTTCAGATATCATAAATACATATTCAGTCAATGTGATAAATGTCAAAAAGGCAACTTAAAAGGTGTAAACATTTCTAGGTATAAACAACTTAATTCTTACGAGTATGATTTTGTTTTTTTTACTTTCTGAAATTAAGTTTCTGTCGAAAAAGTGTAATTTAGAAAATATATTATTACAGTTCAGTCTAGGAGTGGGATGTTGATCAGGAAGAATCTTATTTTAGTTAAATAGAACAACAGAGAGGAGAGTAATGTAGTGGACCCTGTGAGGGAACAAACAGAGGGTTAGAGTTTAGGGGCCAGATTGGGAGGAGAATGGAACCTACATCCATCTCAGCGGGAGCAGAAGTCTGACTGAACATTTCCTGCACTGGTTTCACTGATTATTGCCTCAAAGTGTTGCTCAACATTTTAGCTCAGAAGCTTCATCAGGCTTGTTTACTTCTTTTTTTTAATGACTATATACTACTGATGGGTTCTGCCCCCTGCTGGAC